CACTGACCAACTGGATTTGTAATGTTAGTGTCCAGGGTTAGATTCCTCATGGTTGACAAAGCACAGATAATCCATTTTTCAACTTTGCACATTTGATGCTAAACTTTTAATGCACCCACACCTGTAGATCAAACCATGCCCCTAAGATGAATTATAAACAAAGGGAAGTGAAGAAATGAGCATTGTTGAGGTGGAATGGTGCCTGGAGAGTTTGAGACCACTTGATGAGGTCTCTACAGGGCTCCAACTGTCACCAGCCAGAATAACATAGCCCTAGCTTTGGTCAAATCCACTCATAACCAGCTGAAAAGGAATAGAAGTGCCATTAGGCATCTGTGGGTAAAGATCGTGAACCATGGGGTAGTGAGCCTCTCTAAGTCAGGAGGTATCCTGCAAGGATGAATATTTCTCACAACAAAACCTGACAAACAACTCACAACAAAACCTGACAAATAACTCATCATCCTGCTGCCAGGTACCAACAACTCACCTGAGTTTTCGTGTACCTGAATATGTCTACCACCCTGCATCTGCAACATCTGTCAGTCATTGGTGAGATTGCACAAAGGAGAGGCTTCAGTTAGTACCCAAGGTTCCTGTGAATGAAGCAAAATAGATTTCATCCTAATGCTGAAAAGAGCAGTGAAAGTAAACCTGGGCCTGTTCTTAAAGCATTTAAGGCAAGTAACTACTTTGGAATGGTTGGACTAAGAAACAGGTGGTTCAATGCTTTATTCTAAGCCATGTTATTAAACACCTGGACGAGGCATAGCAAGAGGACTGGAACAGTTATATACTTGTGATTTGACCGTGTGAGAGTCATGGATCTAGATTTGGTTTGTTAAGAATTTTGTGCAAAGCTACAGGAGAGCTATCTGTGCTAGCCATCACTAATTTAGCAGTGAAAGATTAGTCATCACCACCCACTGCCAACTCTTGGGCTACTATTCTACTAATGAATAGTGGGTTTGACTGTCACATCATAATGCCCCATGTCTGAAAGGGCATGTTTGGTGTGACGGGGATTCGAATCCGCAATCCGAGCACCCTAACCATCTGGACATGCTGGTCCTGTCGTGGATCTATCAAGCCAAGTTCATGGTTAGAAAGAGGAACTGAAATGAAGGTCTGGTTGCTTATGTGGATGATATGCACTGATTGCACAGTAAGCCCTACCCTCCAATGACAACAGCAGATTGAGAGGACATCTTCATGGATAAGTTCATTGAGGGACTCCTACGTAAAGCCATGAGGCATTACCTGAACATGAGGAACATCCTCACCTTCACAGAGGCAGTTTTTGTCAAGATTCAGTATAAAATCGTAACTACAGGCTGGTTATTAGAGAAAAAAGCCCACAGTTACAGCTTTAGTGGCTACATCTTAGATGGATCTACCTATTGAGGTACTTCTACTATCTCTAGTTAGAATGCCACTACACTGACTTCCAGGCTCTTCAAGAGAGACTACTACTCTAGCCATTGTGTCAAATGATGATAGACTACACGTTAGAAGAGGTAAATCTCTGGTTCTATCTAAGAAATGTCACTCACAGAATGAAAGTAGTATTCTCTAATCTTGGATATGGCTTTGGCAGCCTTAGGATGTATGCACTGCAGAAAATATCCATCAGGTTTATATGTGCAATGGGTGATTGATGCCATCCAGATTGAGTCCAGACTTTATGAATGTAGATAACAGAAGGAATACCAGTATCTCTGTATATTCACAAGTGGTGTTCCATAGCTTACTATGGACAAAGTCTACAGTCTTGATATAATGTTGTGCTGTTGTAGAAGACACTCATGAAATGTTTATTGTCCAGAAAGCAGTAAGCATTAGCTCATAGTTATCCATCCAATAATGGATGAAGTCTCAGTGTTGTCCTGTAATTATGGAAATCAGCAACCCAGCATACACCTGGAATGGTTAAAGATGCAGTAAATGATGTAGAAGTGACCAACACAATGGTTATATTTGTCACACTATTGTCAAAAGGAAGTATATGGCTACAAACATATCTAAGGTCAGTAATTGAGGACTGAGAAAACAATCTAGACCCAATGCAACAAAAGCAAATCAGTGACTTGTTTGTTGAATATGCTAAAATACTTGTGGGACCAGATAGCTGAGTGGGTTAAACCAATGGTTCCCAGACTTTTGGTAATCATGGACCAGTAAAATTCCAAAAACATATTCAGGGACGGATATTCCAAGTAAAATATCTGTTAATGACATAAGTAGAACAATACGTTATTTACAAAAAAAAAATTCTAAAAAAAAGAAAAAAAAGGTAGACTTGGACAACTTTTAGTGATCAAATATTGAAAGAAACGTAAGTGTCAGTGTTTTCAACAGCCAAAACATGTTGCAAGCAGGTAAAAATTAAGTCAAGGTCTGGAACTGGTCTGCAGACCGCTTTTGGGAAACAATAGGTTAGACAATAGTCATTTGCCAAAACATAGATATAGGTGACAGATGTCCAGTAAATCAATCACTAAACCAGCTTTTCTGGAGTACTAAATAGATTGATCTTGAAGAATGGAACCATATAATCTTCAATGAGTGCTTGGTTGTCTCCAGTGATGGTTGTCAGGAAGAAAGAAGGTGCACTAAGGTTTTGTGTTGCTCTTAGAGTGAACATGGTAACTCACACTGATGCAATTCCTTTACCACAAACAGATGAATTTGTGGATGTGTTATAAGGTTCCTGTTGGTTTAAAACTTTGGATCTGGCATCTGGACCCAAGACAGCTTTTAACATGTGGGAATTCCACATCATGACACCCAACCTGTTAATACACCCACTACTTTCAAGAAGTTCATGTAATTTTCATGAAGAGACTTCAGTGGGAGAGACACCTGGCAAGGGCATAGTGCTAGCAGACTACACCGAAATGTTGCTCAGTCACCCGCAACTGAAGATGAATCTCGACACTTCAAAAACTAAAAAACCACACACACACACACACACACATATATATATATATATATATATATATATAATAA